ATATCGTCATCGGCATCGGCTATTGAAAAACCCATATCGGTCGACCTCTACTTAGCAGCATAAAATAGGTGACTTCTGAATTGTGTCGCATCTGTTAGCCTCCGTAATTATTAACAGTATTTCAATTCTTTTCATAAAACACTTCATTGTCTAATACTCGGTCGTGAGATATTTTAGACCACATTTTATGACCATGAAAATGTTCATATGCATTTTCTCTGTCTGCAATACGTTGCCAGCAAGCCTGTCTACTTTTGTTGGCTGCAGTGATATTGGATTTTCTTTACAGCGTTGATTTAAACTCCTCATAATCCTGCATAATTAGCATGCAATCTTCCTCCGTGAAACATGGAGATCGCGCCATGAGTCAAACGGTGCCTTGCGCTGCCGAACGTGCTCCATTTATGTGAACGCGCACAAACTCCAATGAAGTTAACACCGATTTAACAAATCAACTTCTTAACTGGCGTCATAGTACTGATTAGCCCCGATTGAGTCAACCTCGCATTCGCAAATTACCTCCAGGTTAAGTCTGATTTCGTTAAACCCCCTTCGTAGTACAGGCCACAGGCAACAAGAAGCCCGTGCCATTCACCCTTTTGCAGATCTCGTCTTTGTTTTGGGACATTAAAAGCCTTTGAGACTGATGTGGCACTAAATGCTGGGGAATAATTTTCTCCTTACTATGAAGTTTTGCATCTTAAACACGCGTCGGGAAATAGCTTGCAGCCTGTAGGCTACTCCGCAGCCATCAATGTTTAAGCGAACTGCCGAAACCATAATGTTTATTTTTAGGAAGAATAATTCAATCGTAATTAAACAAAAGAAATACAGACTTTCCAGCCCCCTCCCCCCCCATTTTTTTCCTTCGGATCTACATAAATCTCATTATTAACCTTTAGTGCACTCAGTTGACAGAAATCCGTCATAGCGACGGAAAACTTTAATCCATGTGTCCCAGACTTTAGAGCGTTTAATACACAATGATACCTAATTTGTGGCCGCCATTCTTCTACCTGTCGTTGAATGCTATTGCGCAAGAGAGAATCTCATCAGTGTGGTGTATTGGTGCAGTCTATTGGAAAGCGGTAGTATTGCACAGGTAGAAAGGAAGGAAAACGTCTCACTCTGTTTAAAAATACGTATGGCGACAATTATCAACAATCAAATTCGTCGGCAACTATTTTTATTGTCGATTTTTGTCGACAATGTCGAATAATCATTGCACCCCTACTTGTGACCATACCACATCTGTCAGTAGACGCAGATAGTTGAGTGCATGCATACAGCAGTGATATTCCACCAGACCAGGAGAGAACAGACATATTGCAAGAAACATTGAACATTGAAAAGCTGGCAAGAAACATTGAACATTGAAAAGCAGTGTTGTGAAATAGGTAAACAGGTAAAACATTTTAAAAGTGTTTTATAGTTGTTAGTCTGGGCTTGGGCAGTATAAAAGTAATACGGCACATCATGGCATTTTCAAATCCTAAACCTTTCTTACCAATATTAACCAGGACCCCTCCCCAGCAAATCTTATCAACCAATATTTCAAAATCACAGAATAGTCCTGCTTTTGAAAATACCACAGACCACAGTATAATGTATGCACAGTATAATTTATCTGTACATTAAAAATTAGAAATGTGGATATCTCCGCACCTCCTACAACAATTATTCTTGTTCTACTCTTTCTTCGTTGACCTCTGCTCTGCTTAAGTCACTGCTGCTACCTACAGTACAGCAAACACCTAGTCAACTTTCTTGTAATCAACATGCATGATCTCTGCCGGACAAAAAAAAAAAAACCTGGGCTACACTAGCACTGTCCACAGTTGTCTGGCACCTGATCACAAAAATCACCTTTTTCTGTCGCACCCAAAAGCACATGCAGAAACTTAAGTATGAATTGGCCTTTCTGCAAGTCTTTAAAATCAAAAGTGCAAGATTAAAAGTCAAAAGTTTCAAATGTTATTGTAATCGTACATGCCAGTACAATGAGATTGGGAAGAAGTGAAGTGTGAAAAGCATAAGTTTTTGGTGTTCTGGAACACTCAGGGTTATCTTTAGATCATGCCATGGTGAATTGACATGACCTCAGAAGCAACTGTTGCTACTTTTCAATCTGGGAAGGGTTATAAGGTCATTCCACAGTGAGGACTGTTAATACAGTACTCAAAATCTCACCAAGAAGCACCCTGTCTATGTGTAGAGAACTGAAAAGAATGGAAAAACAAATCGTCTCCTATACTTTCAAACACTGTCAACTTACACTTCCTGGGGAATTGAAGACAGAGAGGTGCTGAGATCAGGCAAGACAACGTGTGCATCCTGCATCTCTTCTCTCTCACCTCGGCGGGCAGCAACATGCGCTCTGAGCCTGGCCCAACCTCCAGAACAAACACATAGTCAATACAGATCATGAACATATTTTGCAGACAGGCATAGATTATCCACAATTTTTATGAAATTTCTGAAAACCTTTACAAAATTTCTTTTTCTCCACTTCCACAGATTCAACATCTCGGCAGACCTCATGTTTCCTTTTGTCAGACCTGTCATCCATTTCTTGGAGAGGTCGCCCAGTAACGTCCCCTACACACACACACACACACACACACATATGCATTTGTATAATTCCTCAACAATTAGAATAGACAATTGGCGTAGTAAGTTTCTTTGAGCATTCTTATTTGTCTTAGAACTTCACGCCAAATCGATGTTTAACCATGGGCATACTAAATATACATGGATAACTCAGCGAATAAATACACCCAACAAATACGGCCACAAATGCAAATATAATTTACGACAACAACGTCAGTGATTCGCCTACAATGGTACGTAACGGTACAGACCTACCATTAGTTCATTAGGGGATTTACACTGGCCTTGTAGCGTTTTAATTATCGATTGCTATCGTTGTTGTAGACTAGATACACATATAAGTACGAAACATTACAAGTTTAAATATTTAGAATGTTAACAGGTTTATATTACCAGTTTGAGAGGGTTCAGGAAGATCGCCAAACAAATCCATCTTTTCAAGCAACAATGGTTGCTTGGTGCCTTTGTACTTAAATTCGTTTAATCTACGAAGAAGCAAAAGTGGCTAGTAAGCTTCCGCAAAATATTTCAACGGGATTTTAAAAGTGAAATACATTTGCCGGATAGTTCTGTTCTTGGTTCACAACTGTAAACTTATCACGCACAATAAACAGAACTATATAAGTTGTATATTAAAAATGTATATATTGATAAGGAGCTCGTATGTCTATGTGGAGCTAGGTAATCAAACTAACCAATCCGCGGTTGCGTTATTCCAGGAGGCGTCGTCAACACTACGAACTTCCCTTTTTAAAATAAAAGTCCTAGTAACACTATTCCCTAAATAAGTTTATATTGTTCTTATAAGTTTATATTATTAAAATAATATTAATGAACTATAAAATCAAAAGTCATAATATTTTGCCAATTAACACACATGTTCTCATATACAACAATCCAAAAACTGTTTTCTTTACAGGGGCAGTTCACCCTAAAACTTAAAAAGACATGTTTTAGAGGGGCTTTAATTATTGCTATTTATCCAGGTTGTTCTACTGGGAGTTGCCTAGTTTTGGAGATATCGGTCGTAGAAATGTCACTCGAATATAATGGGAGTGTATGGCAAACTTTTTGTGGCAATTAAAGCACCAAAATACATTTGAAAAATTCAACAACAATGTCTCTTACAGGAAGTCATGACCTGGTTACTCAAGATAATCTACAGACTTTGCAGTGAACAGTTTAATATAGGAACTATTTTCTGTGACACGCTAATCATATCACTCCGCAAAAGATACGGGCACGAGCTGCGCCCCCCAGCTTCCCCTGACGTCATCGCTCTTTTTAAAGGCAAAGTCGCTTCTACGCCGCAGCAGAAGCGACCGCTCGCTTCTTTTAACCTCACACACCAAAAATAATTAAAATATTATATACCAAATTCTCACCACTCACTCTAAACTTCGTTTACACACTAAGTCGTCCGGCTATGACATTATTTCTACAGCTGACATTATTTTGAGCTGGGCTGTAAGGAAAAAAAATCTAGGCAAGGGGAGCCGTTTTCAACGCTGATTGGAAAGTACTCCGAGATATATTATCCATTATCTCAAAAATAGAAAAAATACAGAATTTAAATACCTTTCTTAACTTTTTTAATCCAAAACAATAAAATTAAGGGTAACAACACTGCAATCAATAAAAAGTATGTGCAGTAATCAACATTTCAAAAACATTTAGTCATTGAACAGTTAAGGCAACCACTAAACTTCGGTCGGGGGCATGGAAGAAGAAGGCATGTGTACTTCATAACAACAGCTTCATGAATGGGGGGCATTGCACCCTAATGTCTAGCTGCAGGCTAAGATAATAATCACATGCATGCCCCCTACCGAGAATTTTTTCCTTATGACCCAGCTCAAAATAATTTGTGTGGAATACATATAAGACACAAATATCAGTAACTGGTGCAAGTTAGGTGCCTGTAAGATTTTTTCCAACCAGAGTTATGCAGGGGGCATTCTGTGGCAGAGTGGTCTGCTATAAAATGTCCCCTGTCCAGATTATTTTTCCTTACAGCCCAGTTCAAAATAATGTCTGCTGTAGAAATACGGCGCACTTGTTAGTCCTCATGGTGCATGGTTGGTTTCTGTATTTTAGATGGTTGACAAGGGCAGGGCAGCGTCATGGCTGGACGACTTGCAGTGCAGCTTATTAGCTGTACTGTACAAGTATAAACAGGGTTTAGAGTTAGTGATGAGAATTTGGTGACTTTTGTCTGTGGTTCGATGTCATATAATTTCCAGTTGTGACAGTGCCGAGTATGAAGTTAATCGCTGTATTACATTAAAACATGACAGAATAGCAGCAATATTTCAGCAGAATGAATTCAACAGAATGTCAAAAATATTAATCAAGTCAACCATTCACTTCTTAGAACTGAAGGTGACTGTTTTTGCACAGAGGAGCATTGTCAAAAAGCATTACTGTAGTGTTTGAATGAAAAAGTTGTTACTGTCACATTTCTGACAATTTACAAGAGGTTGTCAATGAAACTTAAGGTTTGTATTCTGCCCCCGCTGGTGTGTATGAGGCGTGGCCTAGCCTGTTACAACCGCTTGGCAGATAGACAACAGTTTACCAAGAAGAATCCGAAGCTTAAATGTTTTTTCCAGATTTTACTCAGGATTTACTGTAAAACTAACAAACACATAATAAACACATTAATTACATTTGTGTTCAATCATTCATCTAAACTTAATAAAACAAGCATTAATATCACACAGGTTATACAGAGCATATGCAGTCATTATAGAAGTTAGCGTATACAAATTAACTCAATATTCAGATACGGTTTTGTATCATTAGCAATGATTTACCTCCAACATTTTCTTTTGCTTACAGCTGTTAAACAATAGAACTTAAAAACACTTACAGACAAACGTTCTCTGGCCTGGCTATGTAGTGAACAGCATAAACACACAAACATGCCGGGATTCACAATGCTGACTGACTAACTATGGAAACTCTCAAACAAGAATAAAGGACAAACAAAAAACATTTTAACACTGAATTTGGCCACTAGAGGGCCCCCCATCCTAATATTGACAACAAGGCATCACACTCCCCACCTGTTACAATACAATATAACACTATTTCCCTTTCATAAGTAGAACAACTTCTGAGACAGGCCTGGAGTACACCTTTCAAGTACCCTCCCTAATCACCTTCACATCAACTTTATGAACTCTGGAGTCCTCTCTAGGAATGGCTTTCAGCACTACTGCACTTTAAGCACTACTCTTGACTTGTGCATCTTTGAGAAGTACAAGATCTCCTTCACTTAAGTTCGGTTTGTCCATGTGCCACTATCTCCATGTTTGGAGTGACACCAAATATTCTTGACGTCAGCGTTCCCAGAATTTGTCAGCCAGAGCCTGGACCTGTTTTTAATTCTTGCTGTAGAGGTCTTTTAGGTCATACTCTCCTGATGGTGACAACACTCGTTCAATTTTCTGTGTTAGCAACATAGCAGGTGTCAGGAATGTGGGAATGTCTGCATCGGACAACACAGTTCACGTTCAGAATGGCCATGACTTTAGACATAAGTGTGACCAGAACTTTATGAGACAGTTGGGAGGTGTTTGTCTTTAACAGCAATGAATCCAACATCCTGCAAGCGACACCTATCATCTGCTCCCACACCCCACCCATGTGTGTGGAGTGGGGAGAATTGCACTTCAAAGTGCTTCCCTGTTCTTGAAGATAAGTAGTCAGCTCCGGGTCTTCAGATTTGATTGTGAGATCCTTGCTCACCCCGATAAAGTTCGTTCCCCGGTAAGAACAGAAGAGGAGGGCAGGGCTGTGAATCTTCTTAATGCATTTACAAAGCTTGAAGCTGACAGAGACTTGAGCACTTCAATATGCACAGCTCTTGTAACCATACAAGTGAAGATGCCCATTGTTTATTCTCTGCTAAGCCACCTCAGGTTTGTCTTTAGCTTATGGTCCACAGGCCAAACACATCAACACCTACATTTGTGAACGTAGGACCTGGGTTGAGTTGTTCAGCAGGTAAGTCTGACATTTTTTGTTCTTCCATTCTTCCTCTCAATTTGTTACAGATCACACAGTTATGTATGACACTTGACACCAGCCTCTTGCCTCCAATCAACCACAGTCCAGCAGAGCAGACAGAACCCTCTGTGAGATGTCTGCCCTGATGTGTGACCCACTCATGGTAGTGCCTCACTAGTAATGTAGCTATATGTTGCTTTTTAGGAACAATGATCGAGTGTCTTTCTTCCTTGGGTACAGCAGCCAAGGAAAGGTGACCTCCAACTCTTAGCAGGCCATCTGCATCAAAAATAAGTTGTAATTTCCTCATAGGACTTGACTTTGGGACACCATCACCTCCAGAAAGGAGCTTCATCTCTTCAGCCAAAGCATCATACTGAGTGGCTCTTATAATGGCTAATTTTGCCTGTGTCAGTTCATCTGTCTTGCGATTTGAGCTTTTTGTACAAGACCTGACCTTGTGTATGAGTCTGGCTATGGCCCGACTGAGTGTATTCCAGCTGGAGAAGCGTTTGAGTCGGTGTGACCCCAACACAGCTTGAGAGACTTTGATCGTGAAGGCTGTGACCTGTGGGTGTATTTCTACATCTGCATCGGGGTGTATAAGTTCAAATGTCTCTGCAAACAAGTGTCTTTAGACAAGAACATTGGACCTTTAAGCTAATTGGTGTCTTTCAACACGGTTGCTGGCACAGGATCGGTCCCATGGTCAGTAGGGTTGTATTCTGCAGCAACAAATTGCCACTGTGCAGGGCTTGTGGACTTCTTGATGCGAGCAACTCTGTTAGCCACATATACATGAAATCTTCTGGTTGTGTTGTGAATATAGCCAAATACACTGTAGAATGTGACTTTCTGGATATCTGTATCTAGTTCATCTGTGACTAAGTCTGCTATTTCAACAGCCAGTACAGCAGCACAAAGCTCCTACAACACACACAGAACAACAATGAACCACTAGGGAACTGAACAGAAGTAGGAACTAAAATACTAAGGGGTAACGACACTAACACAGGACAGGTGAGGCTGATTAACGAAGACCAGGGAAACGGGGTACAGGTGAAACTAATACTCAAAGTAACTAAACAGGGAAACTAATAACTAACCAAGGAAACAGAAACCAACACTAGGAAATTTAAACAGGTAAAGACACAAGCAGAGGGCACAAGGAACAAAACCAAAAACCCTATACAAAATCACCAAATACAATAAATAGACAAACTCAACTGAAACACTAGGGAGCAAAATACAAAAACAGGAGGCGGGATTCAAACACAGGACAGAAGGTACAAAGACAACCGGACGCTCAAGGTGTTGAGCCATGAGGCCAATAGAAGAGTGGAAACTCAAAGACTAACATGAAGGACGGGATGACCAGCAATGCCTGCTGGTCAATGGATCATCGGAATCGGTCGGAGTCTATTTCTGCATTAACACACCACCATCCCAGTAATACATGACGGGTTTAGAGAAAATGTCATTTTTAGATACAACTGACGCCTGGCATTTGGCTAAACAAGTATCCTTTTCTAGTTCAAATGATATCAAAGGTTTATCAAAAGATGTCATGATGTAGCTAGGTGCACAGAATGGGGAAGCTGGAGAAGAACACGACAGATTGGGGAAAAAGGGATTTAATAGAAAAAAGGAGCTGGGACATGGAACAGGCAAAACAGGCAGCACTACACAGGA